AGGATATATGGATACCAAGTAAGCACACAAAAATATGTTGAACATCATTTTCCATTAGGGAAATATATGTTAAAACCACAATGAGATACCACTACATGCCTAATAGAATGTCTGTTAAAAACAACAAAACTGTAATACCAAGTATGCTCCAGTAGAGCAACTAGAACTCTCATGAATTGTCAGTGGGAGTGCAAAATGGTACAGCCACTATGGAAAAGGTTTTGGTAGTATCTTGTAAAGTTAAACATACAACTGATGACCCAGTTAAACATAGTTCATGACCCAGCGATCTCACTCCTGGGTATTTACCCTAGAGCAGGGTTTTTCAACAGTGGAACTCTTAAATTTTGGGGCCAGATAATCCTTTGTTGTGAGGTGTTGTCCTATGCATTGTAGGATGTGTAGCAGCTTCCTGGAACTCTTCCTACTAAATGCCAGTAACACCACATCCTCCACCCCAGGTTGTGGCAGCCAAAAATATCTGTAGACATTTCCAAATGTCCCTTGGAGGGCTAAATCACTCCTGGTTGAGAACCACTGCCCCAGAGAAATGAAAACATATATCCACAAAAAATCTATAAAAGACCCTCAAGATCAAGAACAAGACAAAGATGCTCACTTTTGCTATTTCTATTCAACAAAGTATTGGAAGTTCTAGCCGAAGCAATTAGGCAAGAAAAAGAAATAAAAGGCATCCAAATTGGAAAAGAAGAAGGAAAATAATCTGTTTACTGATAACATGGTCTTATATGTAGAAAACTTAAGATTCCACGAAAAAAATAATAAACAAAAAATAAATTCAGCAAGGTTGCAGGATACAAAAGCAACACCCAAAATTCAGTTGCATTTCTACACACTAACAATGAAAAATCTGAAAAGGAAATTAAAAAAACAATTTCATATTACAATAGCATCAAAAAATAAAATATTTAGGAATAAATTTAACCAAGGAGACAAGACTTGTACACTGAAAACTACAAAACATTGCTGAAAGAAAGTAAAGCAGACATAAATAAATGGAAAGACATCCTGTGTACATGGATTGGAAGATTGAATACTGTTAAGAATACAACATTATCCAAAGCAATATGCAGATTCAAAGCATTCTCTCTTAAAATGCCAATGGCATTTTTTGGCAGAAGTAGAAAGATCCATCCTAAAATTCACATGGAATCTCAAGGAACTCTGAATAGCCAAATCAATCTGGAAAAAGAAGAACAAAGTTGGGGGACTCACACTTTCTGGTTTCTAAACTCACTATAAAGCTACAGTAATCAAAACAGTGTGATACTGGAATGAGGACAGACGTACGGACCAATGTAATAGAATAAAGAGCCAGAAATAACCTTCACATATACGGTCAACTGATTTTCAACAAAGGTGCCAAGACCATTCAATGGGGAAAGAGCAGTCTTTTCAACAAATAAAGCCTGGAAAACTGGATATCTACATGCAAAAGCATAAAGTTGGACCCTAACCTTAGACCATATACAAAAATTAACTCAAAAAGGATCAAAGATCTCAACATAAGAGCTAAAACTATAAAACTCTTAGAAGAAAATATAAGGGAAAACTTCATGACGTTGGATTTGGCAATAATTTATTGGATATGATATCAAAAGCACAGGCTATAAAAGAAAAAAGAAGATAAATTTGACTCCATCAAACTTAAAAACTTTTGTGCCTCAAAGGACACTGTCAAGAGAGTGAAAAGACAGCCTACAGAATAGGAGGAAATATCTGCAAATCATTATCTGATAAGGGGTTAATATCCATAGTATATTTTTTAAAAAACTTCTACAACCCTAATAAAAAAAAGCAAACAACCCAATTCAAAAACGGGTAAAGAACTTGATTAGACATTTCTCCAAAGAAGATATATAAATGGCCAATAAGCATATGAAAAGATGCTTAACATCACTAATCATCAGGGAAATGTAAACGAAAACCACAATGAGATATCACTTCACACCCGTTAGGGTGGCTATTACAAAAAAAAACACAAATAAACCAAAAAGAGGAAAATAACAAGTTTTGGTGAGGATGTAGAGAAACTGGAAACATTTTGCATTACTGGTGGGAATGTTTTGGCTGCTGTGGAAAACAGCTTGGTGGTTCCTCAAAAAGTTAAACATAAATTACCATATGATCCAGCAATTCCACCTCTAAGTATATACCCAAAAGAAGTGAATGCAAAGACTCAAACACACCTGTACACCAATGTTTGTATCAGCATTATTTATAACAGCCAAAAGGTAGAAACAACCCAAATGTCCATCAACAGATGAATGGATAAACAAAATGTGGTGTATCCATACAATCGAGTATTAATCAGCCTTAAAAAGGAATGAAATTCTGATACATGCTACAATACAGATGAATCTTGAAAACACTATGCTAAATGAAAGAAGGCAGACACAAAAGAACAAATATTGTATGATTCTACTTATATGAGGTACCTAGAATAGGCAAATTCACAAAGACAGAAAGTAGAATAGAGGTTACCAGGGGTTTGGGGGAGAGGGACTAAGGAGTTATTGTTTAATGGTTTTCTGTCTGGAATGATGAAAAAGTTCTGGAAATGAAATACATAGTGGTGATGGTTGCACAACATTGTGAATGTACTTAATGCCACTGAATTGTACATCTAAAAATGGTTAAAATGGTAAATTTTGTTATGTATATTTTACTACAGTAAAAAAAAACCCCAAAAAACAAAAAAAAATCTGCAAAAGAGTGTTTATAACAATTCTATTCATACTTGCCAAAAAACTTGAAGCAATACAAATGTCCTTCAGTGGCTGAGTGGATAAACAAACTGTGGCACATCCGTATACTTGAATACTACTCAGCAAAAAACAGAAAGAACTGTCGACACGTGTAACAATTTGGATGAATCCCAAAGATATTATGCTGAGTGAAAGAAGCTAGTCTCAAAATATGGCATGCTGTGTGATTCCATTTACACAGCATTCTTGAAAAGACAAAACTATAGTGATGAAGAATACATCAGTGGTTGCCAGGGGTTAGGGCTGTGGGGAGGATATGACTACACACAGGTGGTACGATGGAATATCTTGGAGTAGTGGAGCTGCTCTATATCCTGATGGTGATGGTGGTTACACGAATTGAGATATAGGACTGCACACCAAGAGAAAGTCAATTTCACAGTAAGATAATCTAAAAACTAAAAGTATTATAATACCATAATAAAAAATTTAATGTGAGATTTAGAAGTCTAGAATTCTACTATAAAACCTTATAAAACCATTGAAATTAATGATGAGTTTGAAAAACCCATAGAAAAGAGATCATATAAATTAAAATTATGCTCATTCTCTAAATTTTCTATAATTTCACAAACATTTAAAGTAACTAAATAAGGTTACATAATTTTAATAAAATAAAACTTGTATTTCATCCCCTGGTCTAAATTTTTTCATTCAGATCAGAACTTATCCTCAAAGAGAAAAAAAACTAACGTGTGTAATTATGTGCAAAATCAAAATCACAGCACATTAGTTCTGTCTACCATATAGGGTTGTTATGTGGAACTAGTGAAAGAATGTAAATCAACGTCATTTGAAAATATCGTATTACTGAAGTTAAAAAAACACACAAGTGAATGAGATGGGATAGCCTTTAAACACACTTATATGGTGGATCCCTCACAGCTACCTTCCTTTGGCCAGTATTCAGGGCTGTTAATCTACTTGGTCGTATTGCCTAGTAATGCACAGAGACAGTCATTAATCAACTATTATAAACTTAGGCAAGAAATCAATCCTTAACTGTATTGTTAATAAAACACTGGTCTGTCTCACAATCTCAAAGATTAGAAATGCACCGCTAGTGTCTGGAATGACTCTGCACTTGCTTGTATTAGATTATAGATTCACTTCCTTTTTCTGTTCTCTGGAGACATAGTACAACTGGCCAGCAGCCTTTATAAAAGTGTTTTCTTCTAGAAGTTTCCCAAGGGCTATTACTAAGTGTGAAAAACATTGGGAAGACCACAGAAGATTTGTATATGAGTCACTTTCCATCTGCATATAGTTAAGTGCAGTTACAGCCCAAATTTTATCAAATAGAAAGGCAAAATGAAACATTTAATTACCACTTCACTGGAGATTATTGTTTTTAGATCTTTAATTGTCTATTATCCTTATGTATAGGAGGGCAGAATTGTCTTCTCAAAAGTATATATAGTCACAGTGCCTTGAACATTGTCCTTCTAAAATCTCTTTTCAAAATTTCAAAGTTCAGAGATTCTTTCCAGAGAATTTTCTCTAGTGTTCCCTACATTTTTAAATTTCAGAGTGGGCACAGTTCTGGCTAAAGTGCCTGATAATTTCCAGAGGTGCTAAAAGCCCCTCTCTTTCTTCAGAATCCAAGGTAAAGGAAACAGAAGGGACAACGGAGGGCAGGAACTGTAAATGGTTGATCAAAGGATGGAGATGTTGGGTCTCCATCCACTCAGGTACAGAAAGACCCTATAACAGGAGTCACCAGAGACTAAGACATATCCACAGCCCAGGACACTGTAGCTCCCTCCCAGTGGGACTCTAAGTGATTCATCCTTCAGAAAGGCTCAGAGGCAGTCGGGGCAGGGCCACCAGGTGGTCTGGTGGAAGGGAACACCCAACGTGAGTTTTTACACCTGAGACTCCAGACATCCAGGGAACTATAGACCTATTGGGGTCAAGCAGGATATCAGAGCCCTGGTGAAAAGAACTGTGGTATTACATACACCTCAGCCCTGGGGGCACTTGAAATACTGTGGCCTCAAAGTGGTACAAGAAGCTGAATACTGCAAGAAAGAAAACCAGCTTCAAATCAATTTGTTTCCAGTCTAGAAAACATTGTAACCTGGTATAACAATCAAGTGCTTGTTTTAAGATTGCACAGGGTTTTCTGAAGGATACGTTTCCTTTATAAATCAATTTATAAGAATATAGATTGGGGTGAAGAAAAGAAGAGTGTGTAAAATATAGGATTACCATTTGGATGTAGCTTTCTTCCTCTTCTCTGGAAATAGAATTGGCAAAAAATCTTGCAGAATTAATACCATTTCTTTCTGGAGAGAGAAAGCTGGTTCGATTGCTAAGAACAAAAATATGAATGAGGTCAAAGCAATGTCTTACAGCTGTTCTGAAAGCCAGCCAGGAACTGACATGACCCCCATGGGATTTCAGCCCTCCCCTTCCAGATACAATTTCCTTCCGGCCAAAGCAATTCCTGAAGCAGTAGAGACTGCCCAGCGGCTTCTGTTCCACTTTGGAGCAAATGGCTCCCATTCTCAAAGGCTACTTTTTTCCAGGCCCTCCTGTGACACAGCTCATGAGCTTTCTAAAAACAAACCAAGGCATTGTATCATTTAGAAAAAAAACCCCAAAACTCTCCTTTGAGGCTTTCTTGTGTCCATTTAAAATAACCAGGAAAAGTAAGAAAGTGTGGCCATTTCTCTGTCAGGATGAGAACAAGACTGTAAGTCAACTTTCGTCCTACTCCTGAGTCAGAAGCGCAGGTTGAGTCTCTTTGCAGTCTTGGCTGGAAATATAGCTCATCGCAGAATTTTATTTTACATAGTGATTGTGTCCTGTGGCATTTAGAGTGAACCAAGAAACTCCTGGGCCAGGCTCAGGACTCTGAAAATGCAACTTCTAAAAGGTAAGATGAGAGAGTGCAGATCCATTTCGGAGTTTGTCTACCAAGCCCTTGAACCATCAGTACTACTGGCCCTTCCCCCTGGGTCATAGCTGATTCTACTCAGGCTGGGGCAATACAAATTCCCTCTCCCAAGAAATGTGAATTGAGATTGAAAAAGAGCCTATCTCTGTTGGTACTGGAATTGTATCAGGTAAATAAGCTCGAGACCTATGGTACAGCTATCTTTGGCCATAAGGACTATGCAACAGAGAAAAGAGTTCTGCAAAGAAAGAGGAATGAGCAAATGTAAAGAGAGAAGCAGATGTGAGAGATGGAGAGAGAAGATTCCTCGGGTTCCCAGCAGCGCTCTAGTTCCCAATTCCAGTATCCTGGGAGATTCAGTTATATTCCTCCCTCTGTAATCTACAAAACACTTCTAGCTCATGATAATAAATCTCATCCCTCCTTTGGCTTAAGCTAGATCAAGTGGTTTTCAACTACATTTAATCAAAGAGGGCTAACTATGACCAAGAGTGTCTGTGCTGGAGGAGGGCCCTTTGAGCAATCAAAGACGTACCACGGCACTGTGCGAGTCCTGGTTAGAGACGCGTGTTCCCGGATAGTGGAGAGGTTTCTCAGGTCCAGGGGAGGTGGCTGTGCTACAAGATAACACACAATATCCAGTATGGTAAGTTGTTAGGAGTTCAAGGTCAGAATCTAAAGACTGTGAAACTATGACATTCCCCTTACCTAGCACATCAGATCCAAGTTTACTAACAAGCAGCACTGATGATGAGTGTAAATTTCACCGTCTTACTCTTTCCTGCCTTATTGGGAATGGAGAGGACAACTACTGAGCAAATGGTCCCATTACCAGCTTGAGGTAACAATGAGGTGATACATTTAGTCAACACACATTTCTTGAGAACTCACTATGTGTCAGGTATGGTTCTAGGTGATGGAAACACAGTATGAACAAAACAGATGAAATTCTCTGACCTTGTGGAATGCCAACACCAACCTCACACTCGATATGTCCAAAATTGAAATTTTACCTTTCTTATCACAGGCAGAGATGTCACCCAGGTTCTAGTCTTCCCCACCTCCAGTCCATTGTCTACCTGATGATCCTTCTGCTTAGAATGTTCTTCCCCATCTCTCTGCCTGGTTAGTCATCTTTGGATCTCAGTTCAATGTCCTCTGCTTAGCAAGGCCTTCTTTGACCTTCAGACAAGATCAGGCCCCACATCAGCTTATGATGATACATTCATCTGTGATTATCTGATTCAGGTCTAGACTGACTGTGCTTGGGGAGGATAGGAGTTTTTCTGGCTTACTCACTGCAGTAGCCTAGTTGGCCATGCATGTATTTCTCTATCACTGCCTCGACTAGTTGGCTTTTGTATCTCTTGCCTGCACTAGACTACATGGGTAGAGACTAACTCCCTTCATATTACCAGTGCCTATGACAGTGACTTTCCTGCTGCTCAATCAGTTTCCCAGGAGCCTCAGACCCAAGCAAGGTGCTGAGCTGTAAAGGACGTGTGAGTCATATAGTCCCTGGGGAGATCTCTCCTGGCAGCACGACACCTTGGCGTCAGATTCACCAACCAGCCACCTCCCGGCTTCACCACCTGCCCTCTCCTGGTTGAGCCCCAGGCTCCATCCAAGCAGCCACACCTGTCAGAACCAGCCCCTCCTGGCCCAGGTATCCACCTTCACACCCACCCAATGAATCCCTAAACCCAAGTCCATCCAATATCTTTGTGCGTCCAATCACCAGGTCCTATAGAGCTGCACTGTCCAATATGGTAGCCACTAGCCACATGTGGCTACTTAATTTTGTTTATTAAAATTAAATTAAATTTAAAATTCAGTTCCTCAGTTGCACTAGCCACATTTCAAGTGTTCAATAGCCACATTCCCATCATCACAGAAAGTTCTGTTGGACAGCATTGCTATAGGAAATTAATTGAGCAAAACAATATCTACCTCAAAGTTACAATCCCTGTGAAATTGTTTCTGCCCGGAATGAACGGTTATTTCCTCTCACTCTCCTAAGAAGGGTATGTTCTATTTATTACTGACTTCTTAATTTTTCTTCTTCTTCCATGTGGATTTTACATATCTCTCACCCCCGAGACTGAAGAATCCTCCTTGCTTCTTCACCTTTGCATCCCACCCTGTGCCTAGCACAGTATTACAGACACAGCAAGCACACTGTAAATGCGATTTGACTCAAACTGAAGGAAGTGAGACCAGAATGGACTGGCATTGATTCATGACCCTGCTATCAGTTTCTCTACATCAAACCCAGCATATATGGGGTTAAAACCAAAACACTCATTCCCTGCTTACTCCCTGGCTTCCTGGTTCCAGAATCCACTATCCTCCATGGAGACAGACACCGCCAAGGACAAGCACCTGGATTCATTATCTCCTCCCCACAAAGAGATCCAGGCTGGTGGGAAAGCTGCTGACCAGCAAGGTCACAGGCTCCCTCCTCTCTGCAAGTAGTCTCAAGGCCAAACACAGGCTGGTGGGAAAGCTCCAACCAGCAAGGCCATAAGCTCCCCCTCCCCTACCTAAAACCCCCAATAAAAACCCTTCCTTTTAGCTTTTCGGGGCATTTGGGATTTCAGCGTTAGCTGCCCTCTCTCCTTGCTCAGCGCTGTGCAATAATAAAATTCCTAATTTCTTCCACTACCCCCGGTGTCAGAGCTTGGCTTGCTGAGTAACGAGTGAGCGAACTCACTTCAGGTTCGGTAACAATTTGGCGACCCAGATGGGACAATGTCCCAGGTGGACGTCTCGCCTGTGGCACACCAGCCTCTGGCTAAAGGCCTGTCTTGGAAGCTGTCCTGCAGCTGCTTGAGCCCCTTGTCTCAGGGACAGCCCCAGGTGACTGGCTGCTAGCCAGACGTCATCAGCCCACGGTGCTTTTGCTTTGGTGGTGGAAGAAACTAGGTTCAGGACTTAGGAAGACGTCTCTTGTAAGTAGCTGGTAGTTTTTGTTTTTGTCTTTGTGTTAACCTTTTCCAACAGGACCAGCCAAAAATAATGGGTACTGGCAGCCCTCTGGGCTCCGTTTGATTTGAAGTCACCGTGATGCCCCGGCCAAATTTTGCTAAGTCCCCCAGGTGTGCACAACCAAGGTCCCTTGTCCTTGCTCATTTGGGAAGATCTGCATAGCAGATCTCCATTTGTTGGGAGCCCCCCGAGTGTAGGACACGGACTGAGCTGGGACTGGAAGCACTTCAGTTTTTGGTTTTGGTTTTTGGCTTCCATTTGTGGCCGAGGGTTTTCGGGAAAGAACACTTGTTTGATATTTGTTGTTGTTTGTCTGTTTGTCTGTCCTTTTAAAAGTGTTAACATGGGAGGTGCTGCATCTATTCCACCTATGAGCCCCTTGGGAAAAACTTTGGCTGATGGTCGACCTATAGCCATAAGCCAATGTCTAAATAGGGATGATTTTCTTTTGTAACACCACGTGGCCACAATATTCTTTAGACTCTGGAGAAAAAAAAAACAGGCCAAACAATGGATCCTTAAGTTGGGAAACTTTCCAGAGAGCTCTCATCATAAACATCTGTTTTACTGGTAACTTGAAAAGACCAAATTAAAAGGAAAATACAATGGCTGGTCTTAAGAACTTAATCAAACTTGGGGTCCCAGCTTCTTCTCTTGGTCTTATGGATGCTAATAAAAACATTAAGTTAACAAAGAGAAATCAGAAAGGGAAGAGTCACAGGACTTATTCCAATAGGATAAAAATCTTTAGCTAGTTATTAAAAGAAAAATGGAATAAATGGAACAGATATAAATAAAGTTAAAACAAAAGTTTTAATAAAACACTGCCTAAGGTTGGATGGGCTAAAGGGACCCCGCTATTCACTCCCCAACATTGAAGGACATCAGACAAACCTGTTCTATTCACCCCAGTTTGAAAAAATTTAAAAGGTCAGGAGGCAGAAATCAGCATGACCTGACGAGCAATTATTTGGGGCAACAGTTAGGCTACTAAGGTTAATAAGACTATAAAAATTAAAGTGTTTAAGCTAATATTATATGAAGAGGTATGTCAACTTTGCCTGGATATTTGCTTTGAGAATAAACGTTATGTCTAACTGGGAAGGCTTTCCCTACACAATATTGTAATACCAAAACTTGTTAGTGGAATTCTAATGCAAGTTCTAATTAAAAGTATGAGTTAGTAAAACTAAGATAAAGTTTTGTAAAATTGATGTAATTAAAGGGGCCAATTTCAGTTCACCCAAATTGGTGTATTTACATATGCAATTGGAAAAGCCAGCTACAACAACGGAAAGCCTATTTTCATCTTTTGAGGCTTCTAAATAAAATCAGAAATACTTTACTGCCTCTTTAAGAAAAAATAATTAAATAATTAAACATGCCAGCAGCCAAACCCAAATCTGCTGCTTTTCTCTACTCTCTTGCTGAGCTTCCCAGCAAGCTGAGCTTCGCTTCAACTCCCCTGAAATTCCTGATCTAAAATTGAACAAGTAAAAATAAGTAAACTTTTGAGATAATTTGGAACTGTAATGGCCATTCTGGAAACCTGTTTCAGAAGAGGATTCAAAATACCTCATAATGGAATGCAGTCTTTAATTAATATGCACAAACTTCTAAAAGACAGTTATTTAACATGTTATAAAATGATCTTTGATGAATGAAAGCCTGTTTAAGTTTGCTGGTTTGATTTACAATAGACATGTCCTCAAAGTTATCAGCATTGGCTATGATGCAGACATACAGCCTGGGTTTACTGCTCAAATGAGCTCATGTCATCTCTGCTACAAAATTTATCAGCAAAACTAAAAACTCAGTATAATAGATACTTTTGTTTAATATCTCATGGGGTTTTTGTAGACGATCTAAATATAACTGTTAAGAACAGGTAAACTAAATAAATGTAAAAAGATAAAAGCTTTTGGAAAAAATCTTTAACAATTATATGTATTATGATGTATGTACTTAAAACAACTGAAGATGATAGTTAATTGCTGTAATGTCACATGAAGTTTTTAAGAGTAATTGTTAAAACTGGGTAAGAGTTTTAAGTACAATAATTATGTTTTATAGTCTGCATACTTAAAAAAACAGCTTCCAAAATCTTTTTGGAAACAAACTTTATAGCTTTATTAAGGTAAGTTCAATAATAACAGTTTAGTGGGTATCTAGGTCATTTCCACATAAGATAAAATATTAAAGGTTAACTACTAAGCATATATTTGTCTGCCTTTGGTTTCTTATATCAAAGAAACTGAAAGGTGCTTAGGCTTATTGATAAACACGTTTTATGTATGCTGAGGAATTTTCTATAAGAAGACATATATTTCTAAAAGGTCTGAATAAAAGGAAAGTAAAATGTATGTTTTCAGTAAAATGGCATAAAGAATAGAACTATTTTTGTTTCTTGAGTTAAGAAAGATAAATTTGTCCTAAAGTACTGGGACAAATTCTGAATGTAAAAAAAGTAACCAAAGGTTTGTGAAAGTGAAACTGTAAAATTTTGTGCATAGTCAAGTTGGCTAAGATTAAAGTAAATCTAATTAAGTAAATGAATTTATATGTCAAAAGTAAACTGGTACAAATTAAAATTTGGTCTCCTCTTCCTTAAAAGGATAACTTTTCTAGACTTTTAATCTGCTCTTGATAAAAAGATTATAAAAAGGTTTTTTTTTTACTATTTTAACTCTGTTTCCCCTTGACTGTTTCTGTTGTCACTTTGAATGGATACCTCAACATAGTTTCACAGTGAGCTTTGTTTCCTATCTGAACAAATGTTTTAAAGCTTTTAATATTTTTGACAAGCTCCCCCACAACACACAAAAATGTTCAAGTCCTGAATAAAAGCTTTCTTTTGACCTGGAAGAGGAGGGAAAGTTTATCTGGGGATTTTCGGAGGACCCCTGAGACTTCTCAGAGAAATTTACTCTCTTTCTATAAGAAAAAATGCTAAGCTAATTAGGCTTGTTCAGTATGTTAAATTACATGGGAAGCGTTGTCAAATAAGCAATGATAAACTTGCTTAAATGGTATTACATAAATGAGTGTTATTGATATAAATATTTCAAAAATTATCTACAATTCTGATCTGTTCTGATTGTCAGCCATGATTCTGGTTATTATCTCAAAGTATTATATGTCACAAGAATGGTCAAGTGTCTTTGTCAGTTACCATTTTTGAATGTTTTGTTATTTACAGACAGTTGCTGTTTTACTTTGATGTTTTTGCAAATATGTTTCATCTTCGGAGAAATTCATGGAGAGGACTCTGGTGCTTACTCTAGAGTACAGGTTCTGATAAACGTTAAGATTGTGAAACTGAACTCGGTAGAAATTACAGAAGTCTAACAGAGAAACTGATGGCCTCACAAACCGCTGACAGAAGTTTAAGATCAAGAACCAATTACACAGGACAGAATAAACTGATAGGGATGATTATAATTTTTATGACTTTTTGATTGAGATATTGCTGATTTTTGATGTTTTGGTTTTTTTCAGATTTAAGAAAAGCTTTTTCTCTATTCTCTTAAGGAACTATGACTTATAGCAATTTGTAAACAAAATTGAAACATTTATCTTTTTCTCCCTCTCTGAGCCCTCCAAAATGTAAAAACTCCTGATGAGTAAGTGTTCTTATACTCATGGAAATATGGTTGTTTGCATAAGTCCAATAAGAATCTGTTCTTCTTATGACAGGACACAATTGGAAACACTGGTTATATTACCAAGGCTTTGACTGGAACGTCATATTTGAGAAAAAAGTACAGACTTGGATATGACAAGACAGCTTTTGAGGAATGAAGGTTGACATTCTGGAATAAAACCACTTGGAAATATTGGCCTGGTACCTTGCTTGTGGATTTCCAGTGACCTGGTAAGGTTGAGCAAAGGATGTCGCTCCCTCTGGCAGGTACAAGGAACCTTAATATTTTGGGGACCTCATGAAGAGAGGAATTCACCCAAATCTGTAGGTACTGCAGGCAGAATCTGATGACAAGTTCTTGGTCTGGCCTTCCTAGTCTTGAGAGGGCCTTAAAGTTCAACCTGAGATTCCTTATAAGGTTCCAGCAAAGCAGATTTAAAAGAGCCTATATGATCAATTACTACTCTTGCTGTACTTATGTAAATAATTATGCCAAATTTATTAGAACTAGACTTATTTTGCAAACCAGTTAGTCTTAATTTGGCTATGTCTAGTGAAATTGAGGGTGATTTTAGAGAGAAAGATTATGTTTCAATAGAAACTATAATACACATTTGTGAATATTGGATTTTGGTTTTGCCAATCGTCTTTAAGATTTTTGTTACATCTGTTAACTGGACTGGATCTTGAATTCTTCCAGTCTCCTGAAATATCTGGCTACAAACCTCCAAATTAACATTTTCAGGGTTTTTTTACCATCATTTTCATTTGGAGTCATTGAAAACTAAATCTGCCCTTTTCCTAAAGCCTTGCAAACTGAAGCTGGAGAACCTAATATAAACTTAAGAGAGATTCATGTCTACTGCTGTGTAAGCCACTCAAAAAGCTACCTGAATGCCCGATGACACCATGAGAGATATTTCAAACTGCAAAAGATGCTTCAACCCTGACTTCTAGGAATCTTGATTGACTGCCCCCTGGGCTCAAAAACTGGTTTATAATTTGCTCCAACCATTAACCTTGTTTTTCTCTTTTTGTTTCTCTAGAAAAACTTCTTCTTAAATACCTGGTTACTTACCTACATGATACAGGCCTAACCTTGGGGGCTCACCAGCATCACCACCTTATTAAAAGACTGGTTCAATGAGATGAAACAACCTATGCCCCATTTCAGCAGGAAGTAGCTAGATTGGTCACTGCCCCAAATCCCTCAAGATTGAGGAATGAACATAAAAATAGGGGGGAATTGATACCAACCCTGATATCAGTTTCCCTACATCAAACCCAGCATATATGGGGTTAAAACCAAAACACTCATTCTCTGCTTACTCCCTGGCTTCCTGGCTCCAGAATCCACCATCCTCCATGGAGACAGACACCGTCAAGGACAAGCACCTGGACTATCTCCTCCCTCAAAGAGATACAGGCTGGTGAGAAAGCTGCTGACCAGCAAGGTCATGGTCTCCCTCCTCTCTGCAAGTAGTCTCAAGGCCAAAGATAGGCTGGTGGGAAAGCTCCAACCACCAAGGCCATATGCTCCCCCTCCCCTTTCTAAAACCCCCAATAAAAACCCTTCCTTTTAGCTTTTCAGGGCATTTGGAATTTCAGCGTTAGCTGCCCTCTCTCCTTGCTCAGCGCTGTGCAATAATAAAATTCCAACTTTCTTCCACTACACCCAGTGTCAGAGTTTGGCTTGCTGTGCAACGGGTGAGTGAACTCACTTCAGGTTCCATATCAGCATGACTAGGGGACATAGTTGCCAGCTTGGGGCATGACCACCTGAAACTGTAGTTTTTCCAAAGAGCAAAGAGAGGTGGAAATGAACCAGATGGAGTGTCAGAGATCACAGTCCTTGTACCAAAGATTTCCTTGGGATCACATAGCCCTATTGGGCAGGTAACAGTGGGAAAGGATGAAGTTAACAAGTTACTTTGACCTGATTTTCTTCTTTCCCTCTTCTCCTTTCTCCCTGCCTATTTATGCTGCTTAGCAGACCAGAGCAGCTGCCTTAGAGTGATGCAGAAGTTACACGGAGCTCTGAGCACATAGGAGGCACACTGCTCACTGCCAAAGTCCTCTCCCACCCTCAAACACCTCTGCTGATGAGCATGCATAGGGCAGTGAGTGATAAGTTGCATATGACTAGGTCTGACATTCAGGAATTAGTGTCAAAGGTCATTCTTGGCTGCCTTACAGAAGGGAAGCACTGTAATTACATTCAACAAAGAGATGCTAGGTGGGTTCCATTCCCATCCATCATCACTTCCCTTTGTTAGGGAAGCAATCAAAGATGACTCCTCTTGAATGAACCTGGCTTTATAGGCTGTATTTACAGGGCCACAGTCCCTGTAAGTCCCCTGACTCCTTTTATCATGACAAGCTGGGGCAGCAAGGTTCCTTGACCTTTCCCATTCAATACCAGCCATTTCTCCTTGCCCTTGTACTTCCCAGCTCTCTGGGATGGTTCCTTCCCAGAGAGGGTCAGGAAGCAAACTTTTCCACATGCTTCCAGGACCTTGCTCCCCTCTTCTGCACCAGAGGCCTGGTCAGGTGGCTTACGTTTCCTCTGAGGCTTGAGATCTCTATTGACTGGAGGAGGCTCCAGGTTTGCAGGTAGCTCAGGCAGTGGGCTTGAGATGCTTCCTGAGCTCATTGCGATGTACTCATCAGGGCTGCAGTGGGTTCCAAGACCAGAGGCAATGGCCTGGGGGCCCATGGGCACATAGCTGTCTTCGGCACTGGCTGAAGCTGTGGGGTACATTGGGGAGAACCTGCATGGCTGCAAGAGAATAGGTACAGGTTGGGAACCACAGAACAGGCATGGAAACTGCCACAATGGTGGCCGCAACTGCACATAGGGTTTCAGTTACAAATTATCCGAAAATAACTCTGAACTTCCTCAGGAAAGTCAGACAAGCCTCTAACTCAAGCTGTGTCTCTGGACTTATTGTGTGAGGTAGGTGATGACTCTCCTGGATCTGATGCTGGAAGACAGAGAGTTATGAATTTATGCAAATGCTTTAAGTATAATGTGATGTCTTAAGTAGCTACCTCAAGTTGGGCGAGTGTCTGGACCATGAGAACTGACAGGGTCCTTGTAGAATACTAAGTCTAGTAGTTCCCAGACAAGTTCAAGTCTTAAGGGAAAACTGGAAGGGTCCTCAGAGATTCAGAGTGCTGAGTCTCAAAAGACTTCAAGGGAACATATATAGGTCAGGAAATTTGGGGTAAAATTGAGGCTTAAGGGAACTCAAGTGCCAAACTTACCAAATTTAAACTAAGCCGTTTGTCTCGGTGTCTTAAAGATTGGCCTTCTACATCAGCTGCAAGAAATAAGCCAGGGCGGTAAGAAATGCAGGACATTATCACTTGAAACTAGGGTCCAAGTCCCTATGCACCTCAGGGCCCTGTGCTCAGCTCTGGAGAGGCAGAGAAGCATAACACAGCTTCTATACGCAAGGCTTACTGTTAAGTCTAGTTGGGCAATAAGAACACATTCCCCAACAGATGGAAATCAGACCAGATTTTGAAGTTTCTGTATCATGGCTTCAGTTCTCTCTGTGAATTAGGAGGATATATAGCAAGTAACTAACAAATGCTGGTCGCATTTATTACATGAATTTTCTGAGCTTAGAGATGGCTTGTTTGAGATTGGTGACCATGAATTTGTGACCATGATTCTCTGCAGCAGGTACATCCGTGGAGAGAGAGAAAAGTTGGATTAATCCAAGATTAGAAACTTGTCAGACAGATGTGACAAACAGTGTAACATAAAAATTTAGAACAACAGTTGAGTTGAAAGAGATGTCCAGAAGGCAGCAAGATAAATGGGCCTAGACTCACATGAGAGATGATTTTTAGGAATTAGCAGCTTCGAGATGGCAGTCAAAACCATAAGAGTAGATGAGATTGTCTAGGTTGCAAGTTTTGAGAGAAGCTGAACCATAAAACCCTAGAGAATCCCAATATTTGAAGAGCAGGAAGATGAACCCTGGCTCACCCTGAGAAAGAGCAGCCATAGAGAAATGAGGAAAGTCTGGGGGCACCAGGCCCTGAAAGCCTAAGGAAGGAGAGCATGGCCAGCGATGGTGAGTGCTGCTGAGAAGTCCATGGCAATGTGTCCCCCAAGAACTTGGACATGTTAAAAGTCAGGTTGCCTCTGAGAAGTAAACTGAAGAGTCAATATCACCTTAAAGTGAGAGAATAACTCGGCTCAGAAAGATGTGATAGAGATTTATAGAATTAAGAAATATGTACTATAGATGCACATACATGTATGTATGCATGTATATATCTGTGCTTATATGTCTTGAAGGCTGCAGAAGTACTGGTTAAAAGCTGCTCTGGAGTCATACAGTCTAGTTTTAAATTGTTTCTCCACCAGCTATTAGCTGTGTGACACTGCACAAGTTACTTACCCTCTCCGTGTCTCAGTTTCCCAACCTGGAAAATGAGACCAATAATAGAATCTACTTCAGAGCACTGCTGGAAAGGTTAGATGCACTAGCGCATATAAAGGACTTAGAACAGTGCCTGGAACACAGGAAGTACTTAATAAAACCTAGAAATTATTACGGGTGTGGTTAACAAAAAATGTGGGACTTGCTTATGTGAACACAAGCCCCTAACTCCCTCTCCATTAACAGATCCCTACTGAAATAACCAAATAACACAAATATAGAGAAAAACCTGCATCAACATCAGATAGTTTAAGGAGTTTATGATATTGTGAAGATGGTATCAGACTACAGGAAAGCACCAAGAATGGATTCACATCCACACTCCTATAAAAGCGACATCTGGAAAATGAGAGTCACTGCCCAAATCTCACTCTGCTGGACTTCTTCCTATCTCACTGGTTGCTTGTTTAGAGGTTTCTTTTGCTGGTTCCTCCTCTTGACCACAATCTCTAAACGTTGTAGGGTTCCAAGCTCAGTTCTTGGTCATTTTCTCTTCTCTATATCCACTCTCTTGGTGATCTCATCTAGTCCCTTGGATTTACCATCTATATGTTGACAACTCCCAGATTCATAGCTCCAGCCCAGGCCTCTCACTGACCTTCAGACTCCTATTTCTAACAACTTACTTGACATTTCCACTAGGATATATGGCAGGCATCTCAAACTCAACATATCCAAAAACAACTTCCTGATCTCCTCTCTATCTTCCAACTTGCTCCACTTGTTCCTTGTTCCGCATCTCAGTTTCTCAGGCCAAATAACCATGAAATCAACATTGACTCCATTCTTTCTCTACCACACATCCAATGAGTGAGGTTGTATCTTCAAGATATATCAAGCATCCAACCACCTTTAACAAATTCAAAAACTGCTACCCTCATCTCAGTTACCATTATAGCTTGCCTGGATTACTATACTAGTCTTCTAACTGGTTTTCCTGCTTCTACACTTGCTTCCTTTCAGTCTATTCTCAACACAGCAGTGATCCTGTTAAAATGTAAGTCATATCATGTCTCTCTCCTGCTCAATGTGCTGAAATGGCACCGTCTCACTCATAATCAGAGCCCAAGTCCTTAGAATGATCTACAAGGACTCACGTGATCTGACACTCCCAATCTATTCTCCACCCAGGAGCCAGAGTGATGCCTCTCCTTACTCAGTATCCTGCAATGGCCCCATCTCACTCAGAGTCAGAGCCCAATTCTTCAGAGTGGTCTATCAGGACAAATATGATCTTACCCTGCCTTACCTCTCTGTCTTCATCTCCTACAACTCTTCTTACTCTCTGCACTCCAATCATATTGGCCTCACTTTGCTGTTGTTTGAAGACACCAAACTCTTCCCACTTAAGGGCCTTTGCCCTGGTCTTATCCTTTGCCTATAACACTCCTAACCCATATATCAGCATGGCTTGCTCCCTCAGATCCTTCAAGTGTTTTTTCAAATCTTCCCTCTCAATTAAAACTACCCTAATCACCCATTTTAATATTACAACCTTCCCCCCTGCCTGCTCTACTGGTCTCCTTTACCCTGCTCTACCTTTTCTTTTTCCAAAGTACTGTCACCTTCTCACATACCACATAGTTACTATGTTTTTCCAGCTTTATTGAGATATAACTGACATATAACATTGTGTAAATTAAAGGTGTACAACGTATTGATTTGGTGCACTTGTATATTACAAAATGATTACCACTGTAGCATTAGCTAACACCTCCATCACATCACATAATTATCATTTCTGTTTTGTGGTGAGAATATTTAAGAACTACTTAAAAACTTTCAAGGATATAATCTGAATGTTGTGCATTAGACCTCCAGAACTTATTCATCTTCTAGCTGGAAGTTTGGACTCTTTGATCAACATCTCCTGTTTCCTCCACCTCACAGCTCCTGACAACCACCATTCTACTCTGTTTCTGAATTTGGCTTTTTATAGATTCCACATATAAGTGATATCACACTGTATCTTTCTCTGACTTATTTCACTTAGCATATTGCCTTCAAGGTCCATCTGTGGTGTCACAAATGGCAGGATTTCCTTCTTTCTCATGGCTCAGTAATATTCCATTGTATGTACATACCACATCTCCTTTATCCATTCAACCATCGACAGACATTTAGGTTGTTTCCATATTTGGGATGTTGTGAATAATGCTGAAATAAACATGGGAGTGCACATACCTCTTCAAGATCTTGTTTTCATTTCCTTTGGGCATACACCCAAAAGTGGAATAGCTGGATCATATGGTAGTTTTATTTTTAATTTTTTGAGGAATCGTCATACTGTTTTCCATAGTGGCTGCACCAATTTACATTCCTGAGAGTGCACAAGGGTTCCCTTTTCTCCATATCTTTGCCCACACTTGTTATCTCTTATTCCTGATGATAGCCATTCTAACAGGTGTGAGGTGATATCTCATTGTGGTTTTGATTTGCATTTCCCTGATGATTAGCAATGTTGAACATCTTTTCATGTACCTGTTGGTCATTTGTATATCTTCTTTGGAAAAATGTCTATTCAGTTCCTCCGCCCATTTTTTTAAATCAGTTTGTTTGTTTGTTATTGAATTGTATAAATTCTTTAAAGATTTTGGATTTTAATCCCTCATCAGATATATGGTTTGCAAATATTTTCTCCCACTCCACTGATGGCCTTTTCATTTTGTTGATTGTTTCGTTTGCTCTGCAGAAGCTTTTTAGTTTTATGTAGTCCCACCCATTGATTTTTTGCTTTTGCTGCTTGTGCTTTTGGTGTCACGTCCAAAAAGTCATTACCAAGATCAATGTCAAGGAGCTTTTTCCCTATGTTTTCTTCTAGGAGTTTTATGAGTTCAGGTCTTATGTTTAAGTCTTTAATACATTTCAAGCTAATTTTTATTATGGTGTAAGATAGGGGTCCAGTTTCATTTTTCTGCATGTGTTTATCTAGTTTCCTCAAAGCTATTTATTAAGGAGACTATCTTTTCCCTATTGAGTATTCTTGGTTCCCTTGTCAAATATTAGTTGACTATATGGAGAGGGGTTATTTATAGGCTCTCTATTTTGTTCCACTGGTCTGTGTGTCTATTTTTATGCCAGTACCATAATATTTTTATTACTACAGCTTTGTAGCATAGTTTGAAATCAGGAAGTGTGATGCCTCTGCCTTTGTTCTTTTTTCTCAGGATTGATTTGGCTATTCAGGGTCTTTTGTGGTTCCATACAAATTTTAGGATTTTTTTTTTCTATTTCTGTGAAAAATGGCATTGCAATCTTTTTTTTTATTTTTAAAGATTTTATTTTTTCCTTTTTCTCCCCAAAGCCCCCCGGTACATAGTTGTATCCTCTTCATTGTGGGTCCTTCTAGTTGTGGCATGTGGGACGCTGCCTCAGCGTGGTTTGATGAGCAGTGCCATGTCCGCGCCCAGGATTCGAACCAACGAAATACTGGGCCGCCTGCAGCGGAGCGCGTGAACTTAACCACTCGGCCACGGGGCCAGCCCCTGGCATTGCAATCTTGATAGGGATTGCATTGAATCTGTAGATGGTTTGCAGTAGTATGGACATTTTAACAATATTAATTATTCTGATCCATGAACACAGGATATCTTTCCATTTGTTTGTGTCCTCTTCAATTTCTTTCATGAAAGTCTTGTGGTGTTCATGTACATAACTTTTACCTCCTTGGTTAAATTTATTCCTAATTGTTTTATTGTTTTTGATGCTATTGTGAATGGGATTACTTTTTTCAGATATTTAGTTGTTAGTGTATAGAAATGCAACTGATTTCTGTATGTTGATTTTGTATCTTTCAACTTCACTGAATTCATTGATTAGTTCTAACAGTTTTTTGGTAGCGTCTTTAGTATTTTCTATGTATG